GGGTGATGAGGAACTGAACATGAAGCAGCTTGGCAAGACCTAGGCAGAGCACTTTCAGATGACCGATGATGCTTTATAAATTTAGTGTAAAACTGGACTCTTATTTTGAAACAGATTATTCTTCTCTGCCAAAAAAATGCAAACTGAAGCTGTCTCAGGGGTTTTCTTCTGTAAACTCAGTGGACGTTAATGAATTTGGAGCTCGGAGTCTGCACTGAGGGGCAATTGTAAATGTGGGACTGCCGAGTGCTTCAGGAGCTGATTTTGAAATCTGCCTACAAACTTCTCCTAAACTGCCTGGTAATGGCTTATCCCCTGCAACTCCTTAAAGAATAGCAATTATAGACTGCACGCACCTCGAACTTTGCTGTATCCAGCTAACTAGATTCCTTTATTTTTTAAAGATAATTATTAAACATACATTTTCAGTCAGCTGCTTATTTGCTCTGTTCTACCCTAGAAAGGACAAAATTAATGTGTATCTGTTGTATCCAGCATGAGAAAGGACCGGCTTCATCACAGGATGGCTCTGCAAGTATCCCTGCAGCCGTACACGAGGCGATGCACGGGAATTTTTTGTAGACATCCATTTCTCTGGTGATGGAAACTCATACCCATGCTGTGCTGAATCCAGGCCCTACTTTTGAAAAATGAAACCCAGGTTGGCCTTTAAATCTTCGTCCAACTTCCTAACGATTCTGAAGAACCTGTATTTAATATTAGTGATCTATTTTTGGATTTTAATTTTGGGTAGTCTTGGGAAGATGGGCTGCCTCTCAAAGGTGACCTTCTGAAGCTGTTTTCTAAATAACATCCAAGCGAATGCTTTGTTTATTAGAGTTACTTTGTGAAGAAGCAATGAACCTGTCCCAATATCTCATTTACAACTGAAGTGCGGCATTCAGCTAATTGAATACATGGCTACTCTTAATTATTTTGTTACGGCTAATTGATATTTGCTGGGATCATGTTGCTGCGGCCCCATAAATATAATATTACTTTACAAGTTTTTATTTCTGCAGTGAATTCTCTTCTTTTGGCATATTTATATTGTCTCCTGTTTAAATGAATATTTTTTTTAAACATTGCTGTGTCTGCGTTACTGTATAAATGCCAGGGGTGGTAGCTATATGGAAGAAACTTTTTTTCCTGAGTTTCTTACTGGCCTACCAAATCTTCCAGTTACTTTCACAATATAGGGAATGAAACCTTTAGATAAATGTATTATTTAGTATTCTTGTAATCTGATATCTCTTACCTTATCAGTGATACAAAAGCTTTGATAGGATCAGGGCAATAAGCAGCGTGACTATAATTCGCTTCTTGGCCCCCTGTGTCTTTAGTGCAGTAAAATCCAGCTGTTTTGATCACTAATTATCTTGGGGGGGCAGGGAAACAAACCCCCAAATCAACCCAAAAAACTAACAAACTTCCCAGGGCAAAACAAACTTTCCAGGGAAAAAACTTGCATTCAGATGGATATCCTTGGAACAAATGTTATTTGCATTCCCGTGCTCATATTGTCTTCCATATATATAAATTTAGTGATCAGATACCATTAAATAAATCCATTTCTCTCTTTTGAATGGTATTTGATCAGCAAGCAAGACACAGATGACAAGAATTTAAACTCAGCTGGACCTGGAGGAGGGAATGGGTTTTCTCTCCTCTGTCGTTAAGGTGCCCTTGACCTGTTGTGTTTTTACACCCTGAAAATTTCTGCCCTTGTGAATCGTCAGTAATGGGGAGAATGAATTAAGCCATGATGCTCTTGCATGGGTTTTGTTGTATCTTACTGGCTTTCCAAAGTCAGATTTGCAGCTTGGTTTCAGGTTATCGATAGGATCATGTCAAAGACTATTGAATTCTAAGAACTAAAACTTAACCGAGTTCTCATGAGCATTACGGAACATTAATTTTACATTTTCTTTGTCACTGGCCTATTTAATTCTAATTGCACAAAAGGAATGTGCTTGAGTTTGCAAATATTTCGGGGATCATGAGGTGGTTATAAATAAAATATTCGTGTATGGGTAACTATGATAATGCATTGAAGTAATGTATTAGATATTTGGGAGAGGATGGTTTGGGGAGGCACAGCCATCAATGGTGTTTTAGCTGTTTCTATCACCACAGCAAGACGCAGGTTTGAGAGGTGATGCAGGGATTATCCAGAAAAAGCAAAACCGTGATCAATATAAAGCATGGTAGTTAGGCTGTAGAATATTTAGTGTAATCAGCTTTGAAAAAACCTGTAATTCGTTTTCTGTAGTGAATAAAGGCTGATTTAAATGGCGGTGGACAGGGCTGTAGGATGTGCTCCACGGCACTATACTGAAGATGAAGTGGTTGGCAGAGGGCAAGGTTTGCTTCATCCAAGTAGAATTAAAATTTGGCTGTGTGCTTTTGATAGAGCAGGGGTATTTTTGGTGAAGGTTCTTTAAAAAAACAAACAAACAAAAAAAAAAACCCCACAAAAATTCCAAGTAGTTTTTTGCATTGTTCTAAATTACAGATATGCCTGACATGCATGCATTTTTCTGTATTTTTTCTGTTCACCATTATATAATAAATTTAATTTGACTTCTGGATTTTTTTACATGCTTCAGGATATAGAAAAAAAGGTAAGTGGTTAAGTAAGGAACGACCAAAAATCAAAAGTTATTATTTTATTCATCATCTGTCTGCAGAAAAAGTGCAAATCTTCATAGAATACCAGGTTGGAAGGGACTTCAAGGATCACCTGGTCCAATGTTTCTAGCACAATCTAGACAAGATGGCCCAGCACCATGTCCAGCTGAGTCTTAAATGTGTTCAGCATAGCAGAGTCAACCACTTCCCTGGGGAGATTATTCCAGAGGTTGACTGTTCTCATTGCAAAAAATTTACCTCTCGTGTCCAATCAGAATCTCCCCAGAAGTAACTTGTACCCGTTACCCCTTGTCCTCACCATGTGACTCCTGGTAAAAGTGGAGTCTCCATCTCCTTTGTAACTACCCTTTAAGTACTGGTACATGGTGATGAGATCACCTCTAAGCCTCCTTTTCTCAAGGCTGAACAAACCCAGTTCTCTCAGCCTATCCTCGTATGGCAGGCTTCCCAGACCCTTGGCCATCTTGGTGGTCCTTCTCTGGACCCCCTCCAGCCTGTCCACATCTTTTTTGTAT